GTGGGCTCGTCAGTTGCAAGAGAAGTGCAGAGAACGACACCAGCCTTTGTACTCGCTTTTTTGTTGATTGCACCAAGGCATTTGATACGGTGAACCGCGAGGCATTGTGGCTGGTGATGGGTAAGTTTGGTTGCCCGCGTAGGTTTGTAAGTTTAATTGAATGTCTGCTCAGTGGTATGCGAGCGAGGGTGCAGCTGAGTGGAGAGACCTCGGATAATTTTGCAGTTGTCACGGATGTGAAGCAAGGCTGTGTCTTAGCTCCTGCCCTGTTTAATATCTATCTTCATGCAATGTTGTCTTGTGCTTTTGATGCGGCTTGTGTTTACGGTGTTCGTGTGGAGCACCGTATTGATGGTGGGTTGCTGAACATCGGTCGTTTCGGTGCGAGAACTCTAGTCTATGAGACAACTATCCGTATGTTGCTGTTTGCTGACGACTGTGCGTTGTTTTCACACAGCGCGGATGAGTTGTAGACACGAGTAGTGATCTCTCTTCGACAGCGGCCAAATTCGGGCTCACCATCAACACAAGCAAAACTATGTGTCTCTTTCAGCCTTCACCGGAGGTGCAATCCTCAATATTGCCGCAAATCAGCATTGGTGCTGAAGTATTGGAAACCACCTCAAGCTTCTGCTACCTTGGGAGTGTGATGTCGACTGCTCAGCAGCTGCACCTTGAGTTGCGTAATCGAGTGTCGAAGGCGGCAGCGGCAGCATTCGGGAAGCTTGAGTACCGAGTGTGGAACAACCATCAGCTTAGCATTGGCACGAAGCTGATGGTGTACAAATCCATGGTACTGTCCGTTCTTCTATACGGCAGTGAAACGTGGACCATGTACCGTCGGGATGTGCGATATCTCGAGCGGTTCCATCAGCAGTGTCTGCGACGAATTTTGCGGATCGGCTGGGGCGCCAGAGTTGCAGACACGGAAGTGTTGCGCCGAAGTGGGATGTATGCAGTGGACGGCATACTTTTACTGCGACGCCTGAGATGGCTCGGTCATGTGAGCCGTATGGATTCGACGCGAATACCGAAACAACTACTATACGGTCAGCTGAGTATTGGGAAGCGGCACGTGGGGAAACCAAAGTTACGTTACCAGGACATGATTAAAGTGAGCCTCACACGTTCTAATCTTGATTGCAGATCATGGGAATCGAAGGCGGTTGATCGTGGTGCATGGCGCGATCTAATCACGAAGGCAGTTGCTGAAGTGCGGGAGAAAGCCCTCATGCATGCAGAGAAGAAGCGGCAAGTGCGGAAGCGGCAAGCACCAATGAATTGTACTCCATCGACATCGAGCGCATGGTGCTGTAGAACATGCGGTCGCGGGTGCCTTAGTCAGGCAGGTCTAGTAAGCCATTAGAGAGGTCACTCGGGACCACTTCCGAAGCGACGACGGGTCCCGCAGTGAATGTAGGCAGCACCGGCGCACCGTTTGTAGGCACGCTGAATTCGATTTACTAACCGCATGCTTGCATGCTAATTCTCTTTATTTCAGGTGGTGAGTTTTCGGTTCTCTCCTAATGCCTTTCTTTCTCATATAAATGTCTAGTAGGCCATGAGTTGTGCCATTTGGGGCCACTAAAGAAGCGACGACGGGTCCTGCAGAGAATTAGGGCGAGCCGGCACAGCGTTTGTAGGCACGCTGAATTCGATTTACTAACCGCGTGCTTGCATGCTAAGTCTCTTTATTTCAGGTGGTGGGTTTACAGTTTTTACCTTAATGCTTTTCTTTCGCATATAAATATCTCCCTGTACTCTATTCCATTAAATTGCACACATCGCTTCTGCCAATTGTATTCGATTTCCATAACATTTTTGTGTTCGTGGCATTCCGTGAACTATACTTCC